AATGTTAATAAAAAAGTTACAATTTATAGAATAGAATAGGGATGAACCCCTCTGTAATGGTCTCACATGCAGAGCACACACAGTGACATGTGTTCTCTGCTTTGAACCCATCCTAGCACCAGGAGTCTAGGACCAGGAGTCTAGCACCAGGAGTCTAGCACTAGGAGTCTAGTACCAGGAGCAGTGGGCAGCTATTGTACAGCGCCCAGGGAGCAATGGGAGTGGGGGGGTTGTCCAGTGCCTTGCTCAAGGGCACCACGGCAGGGCCCAGGAGGTGAACTGGGACCTCTCCAAGTAGCAGTCCACACTGTTCAGGGACTTGAACCGGCGGCCCTACGGCTCACAGTCCAAGCCCCTACTGACTGAGCCACTGCCGGACTTGTTACCCCTAAACCATATAGGACATTAAATAAATAAGTAATTATAACTATGAATACTTTAGGGAAATATTATAAATATTATATATAAAATATTACAGTATTTTTATCTTGTATGCAGGATTTGAACTTGTTGAGTAATTTCCCTCTGGAAAGTACAACAAAAAGTGACTAGCTCAAAGTAAAACCAGGAGAAAGTTGTTTTTAAAGCACTAACATTTGACTTTTATAACATTATATATATTTTCCCTTGATTATATTTACTCATGGTATGGAAGCCATTTCCTCTGTGTCTCTACCGGGACATGTCTCCATGCTTTAAAGTTCAGCTGCAGCACCTCTTTTCACCCTCTGTCTGAAACCAGAGCCCAGTCTGCTCTGATTGGTTAGCTGGCCGGCTCTGTTGTGATTGGTCAACCAGCTTAGAGATGTCCCGCCCCTTAGCCTAATCACGTACAATGTGTTGGAGCACCAGCCAATAGGAGAGCGAGTGTTAGCCTCCATAGGGATGTTCCTATGTTACTGAAGGGGAGTCAGTTATATCAAATCCTCTGAATTTCATTAAAGTTTTTTGAAGGTGTCTCTCTTTCCAGAGGACATGATGTACTGAGATGAACTTGTTGTACTTCACTGAGGATCAGAAAGACTCAAGGATCTTTCTTAAACTTCTAGACTGAAAGAAGTTTTGAGCTTTTATTTAACACCAAAGCCTTTTCGAAAAACATCTCCTCTCGCCAAAACAATACAGAGCCGACTGAGAAACACTTTGGCTGTGGGTTTAAAGCTAAGCACCATTTATTTTAAATCTTTTAGTCATTTTAATAATAGGTAGGCTAGAGGGGATTTATTGTTCTTTCATTGTCATTCCCTGTTAACTTTGGCCCAGGTTACAGTTCAGTAACTTGTTCATTAATTGGATCTTAGAACAGCAAACTCTCTTGAAATGTTTAAAAGCAAATTCAAAACTTTTTAATATGGCTTTACATTTGGGTTAACTTTCACTTCTCATTTATTTTAATATTGTTGTTATGTTTTCTGTAAAGCATGTGCTGTACAAAATAAAGTGCATTATTAATTGCATTATCATAGATGTATTCTTCTGGAGGGGGGCCACAGAGTCACAGGGCCCTAAAACCGCCCAAATGGTCAGGATCAAAAAAGTAGGAAGGACTCTTTAAAGTAGAGACACTACATACTGATCTACACCTGAACATCAGCAGGAGAGGACTCTTTAAAGTAGAGACACTACATACTGATATACACCTGAACATCAGCAGGAGAGGACTCTTTAAAGTAGAGACACTACATACTGATCTACACCTGAACATCAGCAGGAGAGGACTCTTTAAAGTAGAGACACTACATACTGATATACACCTGAACATCAGCAGGAGAGGACTCTTTAAAGTAGAGACACTACATACTGATATACACCTGAACATCAGCAGGAGAGGACTCTTTAAAGTAGAGACACTACATACTGATATACACCTGCACATCAGCAGGAGAGGACTCTTTAAAGTAGAGACACTACATACTGATATACACCTGAACATCAGCAGGAGAGGACTCTTTAAAGTAGAGACACTACATACTGATATACACCTGAACATCAGCAGGAGAGGACTCTTTAAAGTAGAGACACTACATACTGATATACACCTGCACATCAGCAGGAGAGGACTCTTTAAAGTAGAGACACTACATACTGATATACACCTGAACATCAGCAGGAGAGGACTCTTTAAAGTAGAGACACTACATACTGATATACACCTGAACATCAGCAGGAGAGGACTCTTTAAAGTAGAGACACTACATACTGAGTTGAGGTGGATGTTTGTGCAAGAAAAGGAACTAACATCCCAAGCTCCTTTTATCTCGACTCCAGACTTAAATACTTTTTTTAATTAAAGGTGTGAAACCTGAGGGCAACTCACCTTTTGTACTTCTTTACCTTTTCCATCTTGTTTCTTTTTCTATGTTTCTTAATTAGAAAGCTTGTTCAGAAGAGCAGCAACAGCTCTGTTTTGTCCAGGGTGATGAATCAGACTGTACTCAGGTCACATCTTTATATATATATACAGTCTCTGGGTGGAACCAATGATGCTGTTAACACCTGCAGAGAGAACTGGGACACACTCAGCTCGCCTAGCAACAACAAACATACAATTATATTTAAATATGAATAAATGAAAATCAAATATAGCAAGGTAGTCATAGTTCCTGTAGACCATAAAAGCGCAGGATGATTTGCTCAGAAATAGCATTTATTTAGATAATCTGCACTCTGGGTAAATCAGCTCATTTCTCCAGCTCTTCGTCCTCCTCCATCCTTCCTCTTCTCCCAAGTTCACCTGTCATCTTCTTTTTGAATTATTAACCCCCGTCACTTCTTTCTGCCCGTTTATCAGCATTACCCAGAAACCCTCAGGAGAAGAGCAGGAAGAAGAGAGGGATCAATAGAAAGTTAATTAAAAGTATAGGGAAAGGCTTTTAGCGCTTCAGCATCTCCAGTGTGTGTGTGTGTGTGTGTGTGTGTGTGTGTGTGTGTGTGTGTGTGTGTGTGTGTGTGTGTGTGTGCGACAGATCTTTGAAGTAGTAGAATGCCACACAAAAATGTATTCCAAGAAAATATACATTTTTCTTTTGACTAAATACAATAAATGAACACAAACTTGAAAGAGAATTAACAGTAATGGACGGATGGATCAATAGGGAAAGGCTTTTAGCGCTTCACTATCTCCAGAGTGTGTGTGTGTTTGTGTGTGTGTGTGCGTGCGTGCGTGCGTGTGTGTGACAGATCCTTGAACAGAGATGTGCAAGTGTGTGTGTGTCACTGCCCTTGCATGGTTCAGGTCCTGACAGACCGTAGCTTCTCAGTGCAGCTAGGTGCCTTCTCCTCTGCCAAAGCCCCTCTTACCTGTGGGGTTCCCCAAGGCTCTATCCTGGGCCCCATCCTCTTTCTACTGTACATACTGCCCCTAGGTTCAATTCTCACAAAACACAATGTCCCCTTCCATTGTTACGCTGATGATGTACAGATCGATCTGCCTCTCAATTCTAATGTCAACTTACTACAGCAGTTGATGGACTGCTTAACAGAGATCAAATCCTGGCTGAGCGTGTGTGTGTGTGTGTGTGTGTGTGTGTGTGTGTGTGTGTGTGTGTGTGTGCGACAGATCTTTGAAGTAGTAGAATGCCACAAGAAAATATACATTTTTCTTTTGACTAAATACAATAAATGAACACAAACTTGAAAGAGAATTAACAGTAATGGACGGATGGATCAATAGGGAAAGGCTTTTAGTGCTTCACTATCTCCAGTGTGTGTGTGTGTGTGCGTGTGCGTGTGCGTGTGCGTGTGCGTGCGTGTGTGTGTGTGTGTGTGTGTGTGTGTGTGTGTTTGTGTGATTGATCTTTGAACAGAGATGTGCAGGTAGCAGAATGCCTCAAAAATAAATAATATATATTTTCTTTTTAACAAAATACAGTAAATGATCACAAACTTGAAAAGAAAGCCACATGACATTTGGAAAACTAAGAATGTATTGTTAGCCAGGACATTAAAACAGTCCATTTAAAGACATCATCTTAAAAAGTTATTTATATAACAATATTTGTAATAATAAATATGCATATTTATCTTCACACAAGCATAACATACATTTATTGAGCAACATGTGCAATATTTGTTTATTTTTTGCAATGCTTTCACACTTTATTTTTATTATCTATATATACAAATATATATATATATACATGTATATATATTTGTTTTTATCGTATTGAGAAGATAATAACTAAGAGGAGGTACAATGTTATGTCAATGTTGAGGTATATTAATTGTATTGTGTTCTTCAGTATTTTACATACAGTATATATCATTTAGTTCATGGAAATAAAGCCTGATAGAATTTAATTGAGAGAGAGCAGAGAGAAGAGAGGAGAGATAGAGCGAGATAGAGAGAGGTGGAAGGAGAGAGAGAAGGAGAGAGAGCAGCTCTTAGAAAATAACGAGAGGCTCTCTTCACTCTCTCTGCTCTCTGCTCTCTGCTTGCGCGAGCTAGCAGCTCAGCTTCTCCGACGCGCTCTAGCTCGCGTCTCTCGACTATATGATTATTCAATTAGTGTGTCTGATCGCTGCGTCAGGACGCGCATGGGGACGCGGCGCGCGCAGAGGAGGCAGCTCAGAGTCGCGCGGGGCGGTGAGGAGCGCAGGTCTTTGCTCAGCAGGCATTGGAATTCATTCCCAGAAAATCCGGCATGGGGACGGATTACGCACGGATTTAAAAACAAGAGGATTTGGATCATGACTTTTGGACACATCTGGAAGTCACCGTTTTTTTGGATATGTTTTTGGTCTTTATGAAGATCATTTTTAACGTTTGTTCCACGATAACAGGTCAGTAAATACCCCACTGGTGGATTGAAAAACGTCTCCAGACAAGAGTGAACGACGTGTGCAAAGACTTGTATATAAAAGTTCTTCTTCACTTTCTATCTTGTAGTTTTTTTTCTTTTATTCCCATTCACAGAATTCCTGCACGGACGGTTACGCACGGATTTAAAAACCCACAGGATTTTGGATCATGACTTTTGGACACATCTTTGGAAGTTAAAATGTCTGGAGAATTCATGGATACTAACTATGAGGGCTCGGGGGGGATTGTTTTTCCTGCAAACTTCAGCTGCGTTTTGAACAGCAGCAACCTGTCCTCCTCTGACCGGAACTTTCTGCCGGACTTTAACAAAACCTACTCTGTCGGAGACGGCGCGGCGGTGGTGCGCATCATCATCTCCATCATCTACTCTCTGGTGTGCGCGCTGGGTTTAGTGGGGAACTTACTGGTGTTGTATCTGATGAAAACCAAACAGGTGTGGAAGAAATCCTCCATCAACCTGTTCGTCACCAGTTTGGCGGTGACAGACTTCCAGTTCGTGCTGACACTGCCTTTCTGGGCGGTGGAAAACGCGTTGGATTTCACATGGTTGTTCGGAAAAGCCATGTGTAAGATCGTGTCCTACGTCACGGCCATGAACATGTACGCGAGCGTGTTTTTCCTCACGGCCATGAGCGTCGCGCGCTACTGGTCTCTCGCCTCCGCGCTCAAGGGTCGCAGGAGGCGCCCGCGCTGTTGTTCCGCGCGCTGCATCACAGTCTGCATCTGGTTCGCCGCTGTCTCTGCCGCTCTGCCGCACGCGGTTTTCTCCACCACAGTGAACGTGTCCAGTGAGGACTTGTGTTTGGTGAAGTTCCCTGAAGCAAACGGCACTGCGCAGTTCTGGTTGGGACTCTACCAGTCTCAGAAAGTGCTGCTTGGGTTTGTGTTTCCTCTGTGCGTAATTTCCGCATGCTATCTGCTCCTTTTACGTTTCATCACCTCCAAAAACATCAACACATCGAGCGCAAAGCGCCGCGCAAAGGTCACCAAATCCGTCACCATCGTGGTCCTTTCCTTCTTCCTCTGCTGGCTGCCCAACCAGGCGCTCACAGCATGGGGCATCCTCATCAAACTCAACGTGGTGCACTTCAGTTATGAGTTCTACACCACGCAGGTGTACGTGTTTCCGGTGTCAGTGTGCCTCGCGCACTCCAACAGCTGTCTGAACCCCATCCTGTACTGCCTGATGAGGCGCGAGTTCAGGAAGGCGCTGAAGAAGCTCTTCTGGAGGATGACGTCACCGGCGATCCGGCCTTTCACGGGCACTTCAAAGCCTCTCATGGACGAGCAAGGGCAGGTGATCGTGCCCGTGAGCGCGCCCAGGGAGCCCGTGGTGGAGTTTTACCCCCCGGGGGCCGTGATGTACAATAACCTGCCGTCAAACAGCACGTAGTGGAGGCAGACTGTGCTCTATATTGTTTGTTAATACGAGAGTCTTGAAAACTAAGGCTGAGTTCAAGAGGTTTTTATTTTTTAAAAAGCAAGAAAATATGAACTTCATCTCACCTGGACATCCTATGGAAGACTGTTATGGCGCGTTTCCACTACAGCCCGCAGCCCGGTTTAAGAGGGCTGTGACGTCAGCGGCCCGTCTTTGGTTGCGTTTCCACTTGGCCTAGTACCGGCCGGCGGGTCCTAATTCACAGTTTTTCTGGCCTCATAAAATCGTGGGGCCAGGGCCAGAGACAACGAGGCTGAGTCGGGCTGAGTATGCTAAACTAGAGAGAGCGTCGCTGGAAAGGGGGCAACAACTACAACAAGATGGACATATTTGACCGTGATTTAATTGTAATACACGTTTCAAAATGATGCCGAAGTAACAACATACTGATACCGGTTAGTAAAAACCATGAATTAATGCTTTGTCAAGTCTGCAGACAGACGGCAGGCGAAAAACCTTTTAAAATGCTTGTTTTCTACATGGAGATTGGCTAAGCTAACGCAGTATATGCTCCGACCGTCCACACTCACAACAACGGCCTATACAGACATAAATAAAGCAGCGACTGTATTCGCCATGACACAGGCAGTCTGTGGTTTGTACTTGTTTAACTTTTGTCTAGTTTCTGAACAGATATGAGGAGCTGTGAGCTCTGAGTGCTAACAGCTAACGGCTGTGTTGTTTTTCTGGGGTCCTCTGAAGATCACGTCACGGCTCCGCCTACACTGCGTTACTATAGATACTGCCCCAGTTCCTAAACTGTAATGGAAATGCGCCATAAAGTGAGCCAGTCCTAACGAGGCCCAGCCATACCGAGCGGGGCCGAGCGAGGCCGTGTAGTGGAAACGCGGCATTAGTGCCGGACAAAAAGGTGTTTTTATTTCTGGGATTTTTTCCAATTTGAAGAATAAAGTCGTAACGTGTGGAAGATGTGGAGACTCAATTTGAAATGTAAAAAAAAGTCTTCATCTCACCTGGACATCCTATGGAAGACTTTTAGTGCCGGACAAAAAGGTGTTCTTATTTCCAGAATTCAGACGTGATGTGAAGGAGGTGGAGAATAAACTTGAAATGTGAAGCATAAAGTCAAATTGTAGATGAGAAATATTGAAATATTGACAATGAAATGAACATATTTGACCGTGATTTAATTGTAATACAGGTTTCAAAATGATGCCGAAGTAACTACATACTGATACCGGTTAGTAAAAACCATGAATTAATGCTTTGACAAGTCTGCAGACAGACGGCAGGCGAAAAACCTTTTAAAATGCGTGTTTTCTGAATGGAGATCGGCTAAGCTAACGTTGTATATGCTCCGACCGTCCACACTCACAACAACGGCCTACAGACATAAATAAAGCAGCGACTGTATTCACCATGACACAGACAGTCTGTGGTTTGTACTTGTTTAACTAAGTTTCTGAACAGATATGAGGAGCTGTGAGCTCTGAGTGCTAACAGCTAACGGCTGATGTTGGTTTTGTGTTTCGCATTGAAGATGACGTCACGGCTCCGCCTACACTGCGTTACCATAGTTACTGCCCCAGCTACTAAACTGTAATGGAAACGCAGCATAAAGTGAGCCTGGCCTACCAAGACCTAACTATACCGTACTAAGCCGTGCGAGGCCCTGCAGTGGAAAAGCTCCATAATAGTGCCGGAAATAAACTGGGTTTGTTTTTTGGATTTTGAGAAAAAAGTCGAAACGTGAAGGATGTGGAGTTTAAAGTTTAAATGTAAAGAAAAAGGTCTATATTTCGAGAATAACGTTTTAATGACAGGAATAAGGTCGAAACGTGAAGGATGTGGACAATATATTAAGTATATAAGTTGGAATTGATGTTTAAAAAATGACAATTAAGCTGAAATATGAACAATACATGGACATTTTGAGAATACTTTTGAAATGTTGAGAATAATGTGAAAAGTCGTAACGTAAAGGACGTGCAGTTAAAAGTTGAAATGTAAAAAAGAAAAATGTTAAAGTGAAAAATATGAACTTCATCTTACCTGGGTAAGCTATGGAAGACTATTAGTGCCCGACAAAAAGGTGTTTTTATTTCAGGGATTTTTTTAAATGTCAAGAATAAAGTAGTAACGTGCGGAAGATGTGGAGACTCAATTTGAAATGTAAAAAAAAGTCTAAATATTGAAATTTAAGTTGGATTATTTTTAAAGCGAGGAAAACATGAACTTCATTTCAGCTGGAGAAACTATGGAAGACTATTAGTGCCGGACATAAGCTGGGTTTGTTTTTTGGATTTTGAGAAAAAAGTCGACACGTGAAGGATGTGAAGTTTAAACTTGAAATGTTAAAAATAGGTAGAAATTTAAATGATAACGTTTTAATGACATGAATAAGGTCGAAACATGAAGGGTGTGGACAATATATTAAGTATATAAATTGGAATTAATGTTTAAAAAATGACAATTAAAGGTGGGGTAGGTAATTTTGGAGAAACCAGCTCGAGTGCGCTAGAATTTGAAAATACACAACCGGAGAAAATCTGCCACTTCCTTACAGAGCCCCTCCTCCAACACACACGAACGCGCACATGACCAATGAGGGCACGAGATAAGTTTGTGCCCCGATGGAAGGCTGACAGGCAGGTAGGCCATCCAGTTATTTTAGACGGGTCGGCTCAGATGATTGGTCGTGCTTTTTACAGTACTACGGCTTCCACAGATGATATGTTTTATGTATTTTTTGTCAAAGCACTTCAGATATTCATTGCTATCGGGATGTTAAGAGCATTCCATGGAATATAACAAAAAGTGTATCTCGAGCCGGTTTCTCAAACTTACCTACCCCACCTTTAAGCTGAAATATGAACAACACATGGACATTTTGAGAATATTTTTGAAATGTTGAGAATAATGTGAAAAGTTGAAACGTAAAGGACGTGCAGTTTAAACTTGAAATGTTAAAAATAGGTAGAAATGTAAATGATAATGTTTTAATGACAGGAATAAGGTCGAAACACGAAGGGTGTGGAGAATAAAGTAAACATGTAAATTGGACTGAACGTTGAAAAATAGACATGAAAGCTGAATTATGAACAAATAAGTCAAAATGTAAATAATAATAAGTCAGAATGTCGAAGAAAAAGTTGACATTTTGTGAAATAAGTGGAAATGTCGTAACGTGCAAGATGTGGAGTTTAAAGTTGAAATGTAAAAAAAAAAAATCTAAATATTGAACAGAAAAGTCAAAATGTGGAATTCTGAGACTAAAAAGTGGAAATGGCAAAAACAAAGATGAAATGTGACGGATGTGGAGGATAACGTTTAAATATTGTGAATAAAGTCACACTGAAAAGTCGATATGTTGGGAATAAATATAACATGTTAAAAGTTGCTGGTGAGTACAAGTTGGATTATTAAAAAAGCTGCTCACTGAAGACTATGGATGCATGTGTATGTGTGTGTGTGTGTGTTAAAGTGATGCATGTGTGTGCGTGTGTGTGTGTGTGTGTTAAAGTGATGCATGTGTATATGTGTGTGTGTGTGTGTGTGTGTGTGTGTGTGTGTGTGTGTGTTAAAGTGACATTTATCACGCACGCACGCACACGCACACACACACACACACACACACACACACACACACACACACGCACACACACCATGGAGATTTGTTTTTAGTCGTAATGTCTAGAATAAAGTCGATCCTGAATAGAGTGCATATATGAGATGAAATGAATGTTGAAGTATTGAGAATGACCTCATGTCGCGTCCCCTCACTCTGTTCCCTGTCACTGAGGGCAAACCCATTCATTTGACCTGATGAGAAATTCACAACATGCCATCATTTCATCTCAAAGTCCTCCGTGTATCCATGAAAGCAGAGAAAGTGCTAAATAAGTACTTACACGTCAAGTTAAGTGCCAGTTAGGCCATTCTCTGTCTCTGCATAAATCAAAACAACCTCTATTCTGCATTCATTTTGATTTAATGAAGACACTAAGAGCATTTAGGCGCCTAATCGGCAGTTAACATCTTAATTACGTTTCATTTATTTAAGATTATAAAGTAATCAGTCATTTCTGAAAAACAACATAAGTACCAAATTCTTTCTTCATATTAACACTAAAGTCCAATTAAACTAAAATGTCTGAGACAGAGTGACACCACGATGTTTCTGCGAAGTATCTACCCCAAAAGTACATTTAGTCCTGGATGGATAGACGTTTTTATTAATGTGGAATCTGCACAGGTCAGAGTTTAAATCCCAAATATGTCAGAAAGCACAGGATTCAGTTTAGCTGTTGATTCAGTATCGTCCCTTTTCCCACGAACGCATCTATTTCTCTTCCATCTTTCCCCCGCAGCAGCTGCCCTCGAGTGAGAGATGTCCTGGAGGATAAGAGAGTGTGAAACTAGGCTATGTGTGTGTGTGTGTGTGTGTGTGTGTGTGTGTGTGTGTGTGTGTGTGTGTATGTGTGTGTGTGTGTGTGTGTGTGCAAAGCTATACTATATTCATCATGAGATAAATGTCGTATTTATCTTTTTAAATTAAGCCGCTTAAAGCAATAGCACACACACACACACACACACACACAAACACACACACACACACACACACACACACACACACACACACACACACGCACACACACACACACACACACACACACACACTCAAATGTAACAGCGAGTGTTCCTCCAGAGGCGTTCATCTCCCAGCGTGAAGAAGAAGAGCCTCTGATGTGTTGAGAAAGTCGAGGAAACAGTCGATCAATTTACATAAACACACAGATTGGATCCTCAGTCTCTCCCTGCTTTCATTTGAACCAGAACAGCAGGTTTCTTGCTGTTTAAAGAGAAATGTTGTTATAAACAGTTCCGTCTAGACATGCTCTTTATCGAATGTGCCCTGAAATAACTTTAATTTTAAGTTATATTCATGTATGTCCTCACTTCTTAAAGAGGAAACATTATGCCCTTGTTCAGGTGTATATCAGTATGTAGTGTCTCTACTTTAAAGAGTCCTCTCCTGCTGATGCTCAGGTGTATATCAGTATGTAGTGTCTCTACTTTAAAGAGTCCTCTCCTGCTGATGTTCAGGTGTATATCAGTATGTAGTGTCTCTACTTTAAAGAGTCCTCTCCTGCTGATGTTCAGGTGTGTATCAGTATGTAGTGTCTCTACTTTAAAGAGTCCTCTCCTGCTGATGTTCAGGTGTATATCAGTATGTAGTGTCTCTACTTTAAAGAGTCCTCTCCTGCTGATGTTCAGGTGTATATCAGTATGTAGTGTCTCTACTTTAAAGAGTCCTCTCCTGCTGATGTTCAGGTGTATATCAGTATGTAGTGTCTCTACTTTAAAGAGTCCTCTCCTGCTGATGTTCAGGTGTGTATCAGTATGTAGTGTCTCTACTTTAAAGAGTCCTCTCCTGCTGATGTTCAGGTGTGTATCAGTATGTAGTGTCTCTACTTTAAAGAGTCCTCTCCTGCTGATGTTCAGGTGTATATCAGTATGTAGTGTCTCTATTTTAAAGAGTCCTCTCCTGCTGATGTTCAGGTGTATATCAGTATGTAGTGTCTCTACTTTAAAGAGTCCTCTCCTGTTGATGTTCAGGTGTATATCAGTATGTAGTGTCTCTACTTTAAAGAGTCCTCTCCTGCTGATGTTCAGGTGTATATCAGTATGTAGTGTCTCTACTTTAAAGAGTCCTCTCCTGCTGATGTTCAGGTGTATATCAGTATGTAGTGTCTCTACTTTAAAGAGTCCTCTCCTGTTGATGTTCAGGTGTATATCAGTATGTAGTGTCTCTACTTTAAAGAGTCCTCTCCTGCTGATGTTCAGGTGTATATCAGTATGTAGTGTCTCTACTTTAAAGAGTCCTCTCCTGCTGATGTTCAGGTGTATATCAGTATGTAGCGTCTCTACTTTAAAGAGTCCTCTCCTGCTGATGTTCAGGTGTATATCAGTATGTAGTGTCTCTACTTTAAAGAGTCCTCTCCTGCTGATGTTCAGGTGTATATCAGTATGTAGCGTCTCTACTTTAAAGAGTCCTCTCCTGCTGATGTTCAGGTGTATATCAGTATGTAGCGTCTCTACTTTAAAGAGTCCTCTCCTGCTGATGTTCAGGTGTATATCAGTATGTAGTGTCTCTACTTTAAAGAGTCCTCAGTATGTAGTCATTGTATCTCTTACTTCCTGTTTCATAGTCAGAAGAAATCCCCTGAAAGCAAACCTGAGAAATCTAGTTCACTGACAGAAACCCTGAAAAGAGAATTCCTCGAGCGCTTCACGTTGGTAAAGAACTAACATTTTTGAAATGTTGGCAGAAATGTCAACGATGCCTTCAGGCGCAGCTCGTTCTTTTCTCCAGACGTCAGGACAGTACAAGGGAATATCAAACGCCTCGCAAACACTGATCCTCCTTGGAGTGAGGACTGAAAGATAATGAGCAGAAAAGACGGATAACTTGTGTTTTTCACGTGAAAATCAATTTCTGCCGGTAGCTAAAGATCCTCCTGAAACATTCTGCTTTACAATAATACTTCTGATATATTTTTCCCCTCCAACAAAAGTTGAACTACCTTATTAAAAATTCTTGGAAACATTGAGATGCTGTACTTGTCAGAAAGCTGTACAAAGGATCTAATCGGTTTTTCTGCAGGAAATTGGTATTGAAATCCTCCTGCAACTCTCCAAATAAACGCATTTCCCAAAATGTGGGATGTATTATTATGATTTCCAGTTGCATACTTGTGTATTGGGTTTAATCAACAACATGCTGACCTGATTCTAGGTTAAAAAACTTATATTTTGTCTAAATGTACCCGTTTTCACGCTTAGTTTGAGTGCGTGTCTCTTTAAGAACCTTCTAGAAAGCCCAGTCTGCTCTGATTGGCTTTGGCGAGAATATTAAACAAGTATTTACTATCACATGACAAAATAAAATGCACGTTACTCGCAACTGGTTATTTAAAAAATAATAAAGCTCTTGTTAGTAAATGTGGAAATCCCGTCATCAGCTGGTCATCACATGATATCCAAAAAAGGGCTAAATGTGACGGGTAGATTTAAAATCTCAAAAATAAAAGTGAGATATTTTGCACAAACGCAATCTATTATATTTGTGAAAAAAAAAACCACATTATTTACCTCCAACTTTCTGTCTAAATGCACCCGTTTTCACCCTTATTTTTAGTGCCTGTCTCTTTAAGAACCTTTTAGAGAAAGCCCAGTCTGCTCTGATTGGCTTGTGAGAATATTAAACAAGTATTTAAAAGTACTCACGTGCTGGATGGATGTTCTCCGATGGGGAGAGACACATCTGAAGGGCTTGTTGAGTCACATGTTTTCACAAAAAACCAACAGAATGATCTTATTTCCCAGGGTGAGGGTTTGCAAAGTCTCCTAAACCCAGAAGTAAAGAGCAAAACCAAGAAAAAGTGAGATATTATTTTGGTGAACAGATTGCTGTCCTGTGTGTAATCTCTAAACACCTTGTAAAAAATATATATTTGGCAAAATGGATCTGCTTTCCAAAATAAAAAAGGCACGTTAGTTGTAACTGGTTATTTAAAGGTCCCATCTCATGCTTTTCCGGTTCTTACCCGTCCCCTTGTGTTATGAAGGTTTTTATGCATGTAAACGGTGTGCAGAGTCAAAACCCTCAAAGTACACCCTGTAGCGAGTAAAACTCTAACACAGAAAATACCTCCCCAAAACGCCTCGTTGGAGATACGTCATTGTCCATTTGATTCTTCCTGGACGGGGTGACGTAACCCCGTACCCGGAACGAAATGGACCAATCCGTGGAGCCGTTACGTTACGTCCGCGGAGCCGTTACGTTAAGCCCCCGCTGATTGGTACAAATTGACCAATCCACGGACTTCCTCACACACAGGCAGCTCTGCTGATTTCTCCTCCCTGATTACATTACATTTAGCTGACGCTTTTATCCAAAGCGACTTACAATAAGTGCATTCGACCAAGAAGATACAAACTTAAAGAAAACAGAATCATATAAGTACATCAGGTTTCATAGAGCTAAAACATTTCAAGTGCTACTCAACTGGCTTTAGATAAGCCAATCCTTTGTTAGTAAGTGCTTTGTTAGAAATTCTTTGTTAGTGCTTCTATCGCTCGAAGCGGAGTCGAAAGAGATGAGTTTTCAGTCTGCGCCGGAAGATGTGCACGCTATCTGATGTCCTGATTTCAATGGGGAGCTCATTCCACCATTTTGGAGCCAGGATAGCCACATGTCAGCAGGCTGATAACAGACAGTTGGGATTGCGGCAAAATTCTCTCTGCAGACCCATTCTCTCTGCAGACCCATTCTCTCTGCAGACCCATCCTCTCTGCAGACCCATTCTCTCTGCAGACCCATTCTCTCTGCAGACCCATTCTCTCTGCAGACCCATTCTCGTCTGCAGACCCATTCTCTCTGCAGACCCATCCTCTCTGCAGACCATTCTCTCTGCAGACCCATTCTCTCTGCAGACCCATTCTCTCTGCAGACCCATTCTCTCTGCAGACCCATTCTCTCAGCAGACCCATTCTCTCAGCAGACCCATTCTCTCTGCAGACCCATTCTCTCTGCAGACCCATTCTCTCTGCAGACCCATTCTCTCTGCAGACCCAGACCCATTCTCTCTGCAGACCATTCTCTCTGCAGACCCATCCTCTCTGCAGACCCATTCTCTCTGCAGACCCATTCTCTCTGCAGACCCATTCTCTCTGCAGACCCATTCTCACAGCGTTTATCAACCTTTTTCTTACTCAATATCAAGCCACACTTATTGTTTTTACTTCGGCTGTGAGTTTGTGTGTGCTCAGGATGAGTTTGGCTGTGTTTGGCTGTGTATGCTAAACAAGGAAACAACACCTCCATGGAGCTCAGCGCGATTCACAACATCCCGACCAATCAGAGCACACTGTGCTCACAGGGAGGGTGGGGGCTGGAGCTGTTGGAGCTCCAACAAGCCGTTGTGGAAAAATGCACAATATAAATCTATTCTAGTAGACCTCAACAATGGAATTATGATCAGTAGAAATGGCCATGACATGGGCCCTTTAAATTGAAAAAAATCTCTTATTTTGAAATCCCGTCATCGGCATGATATCCAAAAATGGCAGGGGTAGATTTCAAATCTGAAGCATATAGTGAGATCCTTTGCACAAACGCTATTATATTTGTGGAAGGTGTTTTAAATGTACACATGGATTGTCGATCCTTTCACACAAATAACATTGAGACAAGTCACCAAAACACCCATTTCTGTGCCACCTCGAGGTGAAAACTAAAAAAAGAAATCCACCAATAGTGTGCAAGAACTGAGTGACATGTTAAGTTAATAGACTCTGATTGCACTATTTCTATTCTATTTGTTATTATTTGTATTTATCACATCAAGTCAAATTCCTCGTACGTGTCAACCCACCTGGTGATAAACCTGATTCTGACCTAAGATTTTCATCGACATATCTACACTGTAGCTAAATGACAATAAAAGCCTTGAAACTTGAGGATATAATAAAGAATCTGTATTTATTCAAACAACACCATAAAAACACTTTTACTGTACATGAGCCATGAGTTAGTCCACGTATCTGATGAAGATGCATCCGAACAGCCACTTTGTGATGTCATAACGATTGTTTTGGCTTGTGTAACCATTAGCCAATCACCAACCAAGGTAACCCCCCCCCCCACCTTATCACCTGAATCTCCTCCTAGAGCACCATTGAGTTCTTTTTAACCAAATATCTCTCAGAGGGGCGTGGGGAGGGGCTCCTTATTGTCATCTAAACAGGGCTGAAAGAGAGAGGATTATGGGATGCTGCAATGATCTGTTTGGTGTTTCAGCCAATCAGAGACATGTTTTGTATCGAGTTAGTCCACGTATTTGATGAAGACTGCGATGAAGATGCATCCGAACAGCGACACCACGGAGGCGGAGAGCGGCACCACGACCACGCTGCCCGCCAGGTTCACCAGACCTCCCAGTCCGGCGCCCACGAGGATCTGAGCCAGCTGCACCATGCAGGTGAGGGCGGCGCAGTCCACACCCGACCCCCGCTGAAGGCCCGGTAATCCCTGCAGCTTCAGTTGCTCCTGAACGCACCACGAGGAGACAAGAGAGGAACAGGAGGGGTGTCAGAATCCGAAAAATTGGAGATTTACATATTTTTTATATATTTGATTGAGCATTAAAAGTTCAAAATATACACTTACAGAATAAGAAAGGGATATACAAATAATGCTCACTTTTAGTTTTCTATTTTAAACATCCCACCCCCCATCCCCACCCCGCCTTGACCTCAGGTAAGAAACTAAATTAAGCACACACAAAACAAATTATAATAATAATAATAATAATAATAAGGGAAAAATGTAAGCAAAAATATTCTTACAATAAGAATATTATGAACCAAAAGGACTCATCTGATCTGTGAGGCATACTATCCAGAGTTTCTATGAAAGATAAACAAGGGCTCCATATTTCTTTAAAGAACCTCCAAGAGAGAACCTCAGTTTTTCCAACTTCACCTTGTTTAGAACCTCCTTGATCCACATGGTTTTTTAAAGATGTGTTTTTGGTGCCAGAGAGTGCCTTTAAGGGTCATGTGCGCGTTCATGTGTGTTGGTGGAAGGGCTCTGTAAGGAAGTCTGAAGGAAGGGGCACATTTTTTTCGGCTGCGTATTTTCAAATTCTAGCGCATCTTGACGTAGAAAATGCTGTCTCAAATATGGAGATTTTCTTGCGTTTCTCAGTTTGAAATCGTATTGAAGTGAATGTCTTTTGATTTTGGACTGAGGAAACATTTAGAGACAGAACCTTGGGACTTTTGATAAACTATGATGGACATTTTTCAATATTTTCTGACAACAAAAGAATGTGTTTAAAGTGGACCTATCATGCTATATTTGAATAATATAGTGTAGGACCATACCTATATAAGGCATATTTATACTTTTTTTCAAAATACCAAACAGATCATGCATTTTAGCCATGCCTCATTTTGCTCAATTTGACAATTTCTAGCTCTGTTTTTGCAAGGGCAGATTCTGTGAGAACAGCACCACCTACAGGCCTGGCATATGTACTACAGCGTCTCCAGCGCTTTCGAACGGCAATGGCCGTGGCTGTCTCCTCCTGATTGGTGGAGTTGGCCCAATAGCCGTAGCGCCACTGTCCTGACGTCAGGACAGTGTTCAAATCTGGATCAGTTTTTATCAGATCCGTTGCAGCCCCTTTTTTAGAGATTTGGGTATGGAGGAAAATAGAGAGGGTTGTGTTTTCTGACACTTGGTGAGTTCCCTGGAACACCGGGGACACATATTCATGTAGAAAAGACGTACAAAAGTGCATTTTGCATGATAGGTCCCCTTTAAGTTATGTTGTCAGAAAATACTTTTTTCAGCTTTTCATATATGAATATTTCCTGTTTTACATCACATTAAAAGCACATTTCTTTAGGTTTTGGACTGACAAAAACTACATTTTTGAAGACATCATGGACTTGATGGGCATTTTCAATATTTTCTGACATTTAACTGACCACAAGATCACTACTTTATGTAATTTTGAATGCACACATGTTTATTTGAAGTCTCAAATATGGAGATTATGGAATAAATTAAGCGTAACATGTAGATTGTGGTGTGGTAGAATCTACACAACAGGTAACGTTACATAACAACAACACATTTAATTGATATAGTGTTTTTCTAGAATGCACAGAGCTATTTACAGATTCTAGTTTGAGTATTACATTCGTCAAACTAAGAAGGCAGCCAGAAAGCAATCAATATCTGGGTAAAAAGACTCAGCTCTGGGGAGTTTTAAAAGAGCATATTATATATTTCTTTTCCAGTATCTTGTTCTTTTTCAGACGCTTCGACACACGCCTCGATACGTCTTAATGAGGTATTGACTGCGGGAGACTTTGAAAGAAAACAAACAGTGTTTTTCTACCAGCAACTTACTCCTAACTCTGTATTTTATTATTTATTCACGAGTATAAAGCTTCTGCAGCGATATAATGATCGTAGTCCCACACTCAAATAAGCTTCTTCTTTGTTGGTACACTCTTCTGTGACTCAGACATCTTCAATATGCAAAGTGTGCTTCAATTTCACGGCTGACTTCTCATTACATTTCTGCAACTAAAAGTGTGACTCAACGTTTGTGACTGAGGCTTTTTGAGACCTTCCTCTCTTCACGACTACTTTAACCTAATAATATTTGGATTTGGGAGCATTGGTCTGAAAAACAGAACTAATAAAGACACTATTTCGGTCAGTGGGAAAGCCAAAACAAAGCCATAAATCCACAAAATGATATTTAAATGATGCAATAAACAGACATCTAAAATACTAAAGAACTAGAATACTTCTTACAACATTGCTCTCTTCTTTCCTTCAAGAAAATGTTCCTAAAACAATTCTCAATAAGCTATGCATCCACAAAACTGTGTATAGGCCTACAATTGAATTGATATTAACACATAGTAACAAATAATAACAAATATTTCTAATAAAGCTAAAATGACAGTAAGTTACAGTAATGTATTACTTTTTGCTGTAACGAAGTAATGTAACGCATTACTAATGAAATGTGGGTAATATAGCCTACTACCCGTTACAATTATCAGTAACGCAGTTACAACACATTTTAACCCGAAATGAAATGGTGTTTTGTTTTTTAGGAATTGACTGACATCGCGAGACATTCCGACACCAGAGAAAAATTGTGCCGGTAGATTAGTAAACCAGGGGGGTATACTACGAATCTAGTTCAACATATCCTGGATATGTTTTGAATTATCCGGTTGACTAAATAATAAAAAAAAAACGCTCTCGCTAAACGGTCCTACGACGCTGGCTATCAACTCGATCGCTCAAGCCAGCCGTGTCCTATCTAGTTAGGCGCACGTTCACATAAAAGGGGTTGTATTTGGAGTGTTCGACCAATCACAAACATGGAGAAGCCGTGTACTGACAGCGCAGCACGTCATATATTTCCTGAATGAAAAGTCAACTAATATTAGACAAATATGAAGACGTTAAACTTTAAACATCCATGACTTAAACACTTTATCCAGGATAAAAGCCACATAGCTGCAGCTGCAAGGTGAATACAGCTGGTAAAAGAAAAAGCGTTTGAATGCGTACATTAACAGGTTTATGATATCACTGCTGCCCCGTTTTAGCAACCTTCATTATAGTCCTTGACAGTGGTCTGTACTGGATTAACAACGTGTCACATGTTAATAATTTACAATCAGAATCGAGTATTCAACTAAGCCGTATAATAGAAGTTGTTAGTAGCCTTAATGGCCAACACAGTTGTTATGCTACACCACATCGCCCTTCACTGGATGTATAATGAGCTGCACGAAACTACATGTTAGCATTTAAAATACCTAGCCATTCTTTTGCGGTTATTTTGGTAAAGTAACTCAAATTAATATAAAAGTAGTGTAACTCATTACATTTCAGAGACAGTAATATTGTAATGTAACTTATTACTTAAAGAAGACAGTAATAAGTAATAAGTACTCTATTACATTTTGGAAGTAACTTGCCCAACACTGGTCATAAATAACAGAAACCTAAATGGATTTGGATTTGGGAGCGTTGGTCTGAAAAACAGAACTAATAAAGACACTATTTCGGTTAGTGGGAAAGCCAAAACAAAGCCATACATCCACAAAATGATATTTAAATGATGCAATAAACAGTCATTTTAAATACTAAAGAACCAGAATACTTCTTACGGCATTGCTCTATTCTACTATTTAAGAAAACCTTTCTTAAAACCACAACGTTTTAGATGAAACGCAGGAATATATTGGTGACTGATGCCCGTTTTTTCCCTTCTGTACCCACATTTTATTTTTACGTTTTTTAAGACTATTAAACACCCGAGCTCTGTACAGTGCCTCGATAAACATTCATCTGTTTGTCATCTTGCAATCTACTTATTTATCTAAATAGTTATCACCGCAATAAACCGTATTTAATGTTGTCTTAATGTACATTATTTAATTTCATATTCTGTTCTTGTACATATCATATTCTATTTACATGTATAGGCCTATAGACTTCTTGCACTAGTTTGTATTTTGTATTTTATTATATATGTTGCATTGTTGGAGGAGCTCAGGTCAGAAGAATTTCATTGCCATTTCTACACTGTAGCTTTGTGCATATGACAATAAAACCTTTGAATCTTTGAATGCATCTTCACTCTGAAAAACATGTATTTTTTAGGTACTGTACCTCCTCCTCCAGCTGGTACTCAGCGATCAGGTTGAAGGGGATGGTGTACAGCGTGCTGGACATCACTCCGAACACGCTGCAGAGGATGAGCACGGCGATCATGTCCGGAAAGAGTCCGATCAGACTGGTTCCCAGGCCGAACGTGAAGTATCCCACAAAGTATAATCCTTTCAGACCGATGTACGGGAGCAGGAAGCGCTGCACGTCTGAAAACAGTAAAATACGTCAATAAATACCCCATTGGTGACTAAGTGTCTAAATGAGACGACTAAACGTCATCACGCCCAACATTAGCCGCCGTTAGCTTAGCGAAGGTGACGTGAAGTCATGTGACCGTGCTGTAGTTTCTTTATAGCCCAACATTAGCCGCCGTTAGCCTAGCGGTGGTGACATGAAGTCATGTGACCGTGCTGTAGTTCCTTTATAGCCCAACATTAGCCTCCTTTAGCTTAGCGGTGGTGACGTGAAGTCATGTGACCGTGCTGTAGTTCCTTTATAGCCCAACATTAGCCGCCGTTAGCTTAGCGGTGGTTACGTGAAGTCATGTGACCGTGCTGTAGTTCCTTTATAGACTAACATTAGCCACCTTTAGCTTAGCGGTGGTGAAGTGAAGTCATGTGACCGTGCTGTAGTTCCTTTATAGCCCAACATTAGCCACCTTTAGCTTAGCGGTGGTGACGTGAAGTCATGTGACCGTGCTGTAGTTCCTTTATAGCCCAACATTAGCCACCTTTAGCTTAGCGGTGGTGACGTGAAGTCATGTGACCGTACTGTAGTTCCTTTATAGCCCAACATTAGCCGCCGTTAGCTTAGCGGTGGTTACGTGAAGTCATGTGACCATGCTGTAGTTCCTTTATAGCCCAACATTAGCCACCTTTAGCTTAGCGGTGGTGACGTGAAGTCATGTGACCGTGCTGTAGTTCCTTTATAGCCCAACATTAGCCACCCTTAGCTTAGCGGTGGTGAAGTGAAGTCATGTGACCGTGCTGTAGTTCCTTTATAGCCCAACATTAGCCACCTTTAGCTTAGCGGTGGTGACGTGAAGTCATGTGACCGTACTGTAGTTCCTTTATAGACTAACATTAGCCACCTTTAGCTTAGCGGTGGTGAAGTGAAGTCATGTGACCGTGCTGTAGTTCCTTTATAGCCCAACATTAGCCTCCTTTAGCTTAGCGGTGGTGACGTGAAGTCATGTGACCGTGCTGTAGTTCCTTTATAGCCCAACATTAGCCGCCGGTAGCTTAGCGGTGGTTACGTGAAGTCATGTGACCATGCTGTAGTTCCTTTATAGCCCAACATTAGCCACCTTTAGCTTAGCGGTGGTGACGTGAAGTCATGTGACCGTGCTGTAGTTCCTTTATAGCCCAACATTAGCCGCCGTTAGCTTAGCGGTGGTTACGTGAAGTCATGTGACCATGCTGTAGTTCCTTTATAGCCCAACATTAGCCACCTTTAGCTTAGCGGTGGTGACGTGAAGTCATGTGACCGTGCTGTAGTTCCTTTATAGCCCAACATTAGCCACCCTTAGCTTAGCGGTGGTGAAGTGAAGTCATGTGACCGTGCTGTAGTTCCTTTATAGCCCAACATTAGCCACCTTTAGCTTAGCGGTGGTGACGTGAAGTCATGTGACCGTACTGTAGTTCCTTTATAGACTAACATTAGCCACCTTTAGCTTAGCGGTGGTGAAGTGAAGTCATGTGACCGTGCTGTAGTTCCTTTATAGCCCAACATTAGCCACCTTTTGCTTAGCGGTGGTGAAGTGAAGTCATGTGACCGTGCTGTAGTTCCTTCATAGCCCAACATTAGCCGCCTTTAGCTTAGCGGTGGTGAAGTCATGTGATCATGTTCCTTTATCTTCTAAATATGATTAAATCCTCCTTAGTGTGCAGTAGATTTGCTAAAGTTGTGACCGTATGCTGATGACACACAATTATACATCGTCTTTAAAACTTTTGAGCAAAATGAGCTTTTGTCTCTGTGTGTTTGGCCTCCGTGAAACAATGCATAAGTGTCAATGTTTTACAACTTAAGGGTACAAAAGAGACACGACTGAAACTGAATAGGCTGTTGAACCTGTCGTCACACGAGAACAATGTTGTCTTGCTGTCATTTTGGACTTAAACCTTGTAGCCCACATGAGCAAAGTTACATTGAAAGTTAAAGACAGCATTTTTCCAGTTTAGAAGTTATCTCAAAGTAAAGCTGTTCCTATCTCTCGAAAAAGTCGATAAGAAAACTTCTCCTAGCCTCTAAATACGAAGAAAATAGACTCCCAGTATCGATTTTAAAGGAACCCACAAAGCCAGTATTCTTACATCAATTATTCACCCCGTTCCATCACGTGTGGACCAAGCATCAAATCATTTTTAGGAAATTCTCGAGGAATGGGGGTAAATGTGCGCTTTGTTTAACCCCAGATCGACTGTATTCACACAACTCCATCCATCCATCCATCCATCCATCCATGCATCCATCCATCCATCCATCCATCCATCCATCCATCTATCTATCCATCCATTCATCCATCCATCCATTCCATCCATCCATCCATCCATCTATCCATCCATCTATCCATCCATCCATCCATTCATCCATCCATCCATCCATCCATCTATCCATCCATTCATCCATCCATCCATCCATCCATCCATCCATCTATCCATCCATTCATTCATCCATCCATCCATCCATCCATCCATCCATCCATCCATCCATCCATCCATCATCCATCCATCATCCATCCATCCATCCATCCATCCATCTTCTCCCTCTTATCCGTGGTCGGGTCTCGGAGGTATCAGTTCCAGCAGAGAGCCCCAAACGTTCCTTTCCCCTCATCAACCAGCTCTGACTGGGGGATCCCAAGGCGCTCCCAGGCCAGAGAAGAGATATAATCCCTCCACCTGGTCCTAGGTCTACCCCTCGGTCTCCTCCCAGCTGGACGTGCCTGGAACACCTCCCTAGGGAGGCGCCCAGGTGGCATCCTTACTAGGCGCCCGAACCACCTCAACTGGCTCCTTTTGACGCGAAGGAGGAGCGGTTCAACTCTGAGTCCCTCCCGGATGACTGAACTTCTCCCCTTATCCTTAAGGGAGACGCCCGCCACCCCTGCGGAGAAAACCCATCTCGGCCGCTTGTATCCGCAATCTCGTTCTTTCGGTCATGACCCATCCTTCATGACCATAGGTGAGGGTAGGAACGAAGATGGCCCGGTAGACAGAGAGTTTCACACAGCTCAAGAAGTTTAATCCAAGTCTCATTCATCCAGTTGCACGCTCACTATTTTCCCAACACATGCATTTTTCATAAAACCTTAATATTTAATTCACTTCGGACTGATGTGTTGCTCGCTCGTGCATCTGTGCATGCAAAAGGGCTTTTAAAAAAGTGAGGTTTTAGTAAAGAAATGCATGCAAATGAGACTGCTGCACGAGTTGTGTGAGATTTTTTATTTATATAGTTTGCTGCTGCTTTTAAATGCTGCCCCGATTAACTTCAATTCATCAAGAGTTTTTGGATACTTGGGTTGATTATTTATTATTTTCTCTGTTTCCAGAATGTAAAAAGATCCAATTTCACACTCGGAGGGCCAGCGATGCCATTATTTTGTTATTTGGCTGAACTTCGCTCTGCCTGCTGCACATTATTTCTCTCCCTGTCTTTCTGATTGTTTTGTTTCTATGGATGACTGCTGTGTGCTCCTGCTATGAAAAGCTATTGAAATCCTCAAGCAAAGCAGTAACAAGGCAGGCATTTTTGCTGCAGAGGAGATAGAGATGTGGGTTCAGGACATCTGGAGACTAATGGCTGCACGACAAAAACTTGAAATCTTACCAAGTATATTTGTCTAATATCTAGTCAGAATATGTCTCTACACCTGATATAAGACATAATAACTTCAGAAGTGACACTGCAGTGAGATATCGGGTCTTGTTTTTAGACAATGCTTCATCTTGTTGAGTCAGAAAATCTTATTTTGAGTTGTATCTCAGATGAAACACATATTTTTACATATTTATTAGAAAATCACCAACTAACAGAAAACAGAAAACTTTTGAGCATTTGCGGATTATATTGTAACAACATCTCCTGCTTCTGCTCAAATATAGTTCAAAATGAGTTCTCCAGCTAATCACAAGATCTGATTTATGTCAAGTTCTCTTACCAAGCTAATATTCACTTGTTCTATTGGCAGATGTTTGTACTTATTTCAAGTGAAAACACCTTGTTTCCATTATTGTTTAACTTGTTTTTGGAGCAGCATTTTTTCCAGTGTGTGTGTGTGAAATAAAAATCAACAATAATAACAATCTTTGGGTTACTTACAGGAGTAGAGAGCGGAGGAAATAGCGTTGATACAAAGACCCCAGCAGCCCACTTCCACTCCTCGCTCATACCTACTGTAGGCCGTGGAGTTATGTTCTGCATACGGATTCCCCTTGTACACGATCTGCAAAACAAACAGAGAAACACATTAAACACTTGAAAAAATGCTGCTCCAAAAGCAAGTTAAACTATAATGAAAACAAGCTGTTTTCACTTGAAATAAGTACAAACATCTGCCAATAGAACAAGTGAACATGTGCTTGGTAAGATCTCTTGAAATAAGAAGGGATATTTAGATAAATCAGATCTTGTAATTAGCTGGGAAACTTATTTTGAACTATATTTGACCAGAATCAGGAAATGTTGTTACAATATACTGTAAGCCGCAAATGCTCAAAAGTTTTTCTGTTTTCTGATGTTAGTTGGTGATTTTCAAATAAATATGTAAAAATCTGAGATACAACTCAAAATAAGATTTTTTGACTTAAAGTGGACCTATCATGCTATATTTGAATAATATAGTGTAGGACCATACCTATATAAGGCATTTTTCTCAAAATACCAAACAGATCATGCATTTTAGCCATGCCTCATTTTGCTCAATTTGACATTTTTTAGCTCTGGGCTAATTCTGTGAGCAACAGCACCACCTACAGGCCTGGCATATGTACTACAGCGTCTCCAGTGCTTTCGAACGGCAATGGCCGTGGCTGTCTCCTCCTGATTGGTGGAGTTGGCCCAATAGCCGTAGCGCCACCGTCCTGACGTCAGGACAGTGTTCAAATCTTGATCAGTTTTTATCAGATCCGTTGCAGCCCCTTTTTCAGAGATTTGGGTATGGAGGAAAATAGAGAGGGTTGTGTTTTCTGACACTTGGTGAGTTCCCTGGAACACCGGGGACACATATTCATGTATAAAAGACGTGCAAAAGTGCATTTTGCATGATAGGTCCCCTTTAAGTTATGTTGTCAGAAAATACTTTTTTCAGCTTTTCATATATGAATATTTCCTGTTTTACATCACATTAAAAGCACATCTCTTTAGGTTTTGGACTGACAGAAACTACATTTTTAGGCAATAGCATAGGTCTCAGATATATTAAAAATATATAAAAAACATGTCTATGAAGTGTTTTGCTCAAAATACCAAACAGATCACCCATTCTAGCCATGCCTCATATCCCTCTATTTCACTTCCTGTTTCAAAAGTGCTGATTTGGGGTATAAAGCTTTAAAAAAAAAATTGTTGATATAAAAAGAAAAAAGGAGGGGGCTGAGCTCATGTGGGACCCGGCAGCTACTGTCTAAACTAAATACTGCCGTGATGAAACGCCATATCATGGATTATCAAGGATTCTTTCTGAAACAGTATGGAGCTCAAAGGCTTTCTCTCTTGACAAGGTGAGTTCCTTTTTATTTCCTGCTTCTTCACACATATGCTCTCCAGTACAGGTTAGCTCTGAGTGTTAGCGATGCTAATGTAAACACAGACCATATTACGTCCAAAACAGTCGGGCATTGTTTCTGATAGCAACGTTTCTGATTGGGCCGTGGGTCCACATTTCAGATATTACGTCATATCGGACGCAAATCTGGATCAGCTCCGTTGTTCCCCCGTTTTTAGAGATTTGGGTACGGAGGAAAAGAGAGGGTTTTATTTTCTGACGCTGCGTGAGTTCCCTGACACACCGGGGACACATGTTTATGTATACAAGACATCAAAAAGTGCATTTTGCATGATAGGTCCCCTTTAATGAGATGATGTATTGTCTAAAAACAAGACCCTATATCTCACTGCAAAAATTAACGTATAGATATCATAATGAAACTTCCCCAGGTGGTTACAGACATGACGACAATACTTTTTACTATTACAAGTTTTCTGAAATGTGATTTTCATGGGCTCATTTGCAAACATTTTGGTCACAGAAATGTGATTATTGGATGAAAACCAGGTTCAAAACTGTTTTTTCATTTTGCGACCTACTAGAGTCAAAGGCTTTTGCAAAGGGAATGTCGTTATATCATAAAATACTGCCATAAAAAGTATATTTTCTGCATGTTTTTAGTAATAAATTGTGTAATTGAGTGTGTGACAGAGTGCAAAACACTGCCGGTGATATAAAGAGATGAACGTGGACGGTTAACTGTGTGTACAGTAAGTGCTACTGAAGTGGAGATTTGTGCTCAGAGAAAAATCCATATCTTTCAAAACAGCCTTGAAAGATATGGATTGTGAAATTCAGACACAGCTGAATATTATAGGGTAGAGAAATCCACAGATGCAAACAGACAAAAGTGGTTGAATAAATATGTAATGTTCATGTTTTCTTTCCCCCAGTATGAAAGAAAACGTTATGTTATGGAAGCCTGAAATTGATCCGTGCATAAAAGATAACCCCTGCAGTGCATGCTCATAAAATACAGCTTCACTGATATTGATATCAGATGCCAGCTTCTTTTAACACACTATTTTATTCCTTCCTTTCACACCCAGCAGGAGCTCACTGTGTGTTCTCCTGATAACAAAGCCTGCAGTGTGAGATTACATTTTGTCTCATAATGAGCCGTGGTGAGAGGTAACATCCTGATCAGCATGCACACGGAGAAAAGTGTCAACAATCATTAAAATATCAGTCAGCAGGAGATGAGACACAGCAGGAGGTGACCACCCTCCAACACAAACAAAACAGAGATACATATAAAACATATTGCAGCTTGTTTTATTTCCGGTTGAACGGTTGATTGACTGTTGAAACAACTTCAAAACATTCATCTGCTACTCAGTATTATGTATCTAATACCTAATATATATATATCATTCCAATAACTTGTATATAGACTCGTACTGCACTATTCCACATCATCACTTTATTTTATAACTATTTTCTTTTTGTATTGCTCTTGCTCTTATTGTTATTATGTTATTATGTTGCATTGTTGGAGAAGCCTGAGACATTAGATTTTCAACTACATAATTACTCTGTAGCTATGTCAGATTGACAATAAAGAACCTTGAACCTTGAACCTTGAACCTTGATTATTCCAGTAACACTTTATGGTAAGGGTTCATGAATCATCATGAATTCATGCATGAAAAAGCATGAATTCATTCATGTAGTACTTCATGAACTATCAGTAATGTATAAGGATTAATAGTATCTCATGCATGACTTAATGCACGAACAATACCTTAAAGTGGACCTATCATGCTATATTTGAATAATATAGTGTAGGACCATACCTATATAAGGCATATTTATACTTTTCTGTTTTCAAAATACCAAACAGATCATGCATTTTAGCCATGCCTCATTTCGCTCAATTTGACATTTTTTAGCTCTGTTTTAGCAAGGGCTGATTCTGTGAGAACAGCACCATCTACAGGCCTGGCATATGTACTACAGCGTCTCCAGCGCTTTCGAGCGGCAATGGCCGTGGCTGTCTCCTCCTGATTGGTGGAGTTGGCCCAATAGCCGTAGCGCCACCGTCCTGACGTCAGGACAGTGTTCAAATCTGGATCAGTTTTTATCAGATCCGTTGCAGCCCCTTTTTTAGAGATTTGGGTATGGAGGAAAATAGAGAGGGTTGTGTTTTCTGACACTTGGTGAGTTCCCTGGAACACCGGGGACACATATTCATGTAGAAAAGACGTACAAAAGTGCATTTTGCATGATAGGTCCCCTTTAATTCATGCATCAACTAAGGTATCTCAATCATCATGACTTCTGAGTTATTAATGATGTCTTCTTCATTTAGATCTGCAGTTAAAGTGACAGGCCAAAATTGACCAGTCACAGCAATTCCAAGTGTTGTAATCTAAGCATTATCTTGTCATTACTTCATCATGTTTGTGCCCCTTCAAATAAAGTGGTGACCTGTTCCGTCGTTTACTCTGATAGATAACATGTGATTAATGTGAAATCACCTTTATGAACCATTTGGTGCTCATGCATCAATCATCTTTGTGATCCCTCAAAAAGAGTCAGCCCTGATGTCTATTTAGGCATCATGTATTTGGAAATATTACAAATGCAAATCAGATCATCATTTTGGACTTAATTTCAATTATCAATTATATAGTTAGGACTTTTTTTTAATGTATCATACTTGTACATCATGTATTATCTTAAAGCTCACAAACCATTAAAGATAACTCATTCATAATATTAACAAACTTTAATTTATAATCCAAAGCCAACAAGATCACATTTTCACATATCATGTCCCATAAGAAAGCAGCAACACATGTCGGCAAAGACACAAGACTAGGAGGCCTACTTTAGGGAGGACGTGGATACGAGATACTATTAACACTTATACATTACTGATAGTTCATGAAGTATACATGCATGATTCATGTACCCTTACCATAAAGTGTTACCATTATTCCTTTGATTTCTTTGGTTTAAAGTTAAATATTCAGTTTGAAATTATATAAGACTACTTTAAAGAGTCCTCTCCTGCTAATGTTCAGGTGTATATCAGTATGTAGTGTCTCTACTTTAAAGAGTCCTCTCCTGCTGGTGTTCAGGTGTATATCAGTATGTAGTGTCTCTACTTTAAAGAGTCCTCTCCTGCTGATGTTCAGGTGTATATCAGTATGTAGTGTCTCTACTTTAAAGAGTCCTCTCCTGCTGATGTTCAGGTGTATATCAGTATGTAGTGTCTCTACTTTAAAGAGTCCTCTCCTGCTGATGTTCAGGTGTATATCAGTATGTAGTTTCTCTACTTTAAAGAGTCCTCTCCCGCTGATGTTCAGGTGTATATCAGTATGTAGTGTCTCTACTTTAAAGAGTCCTCTCCTGCTGATGTTCAGGTGTATATCAGTATGTAGTGTCTCTACTTTAAAGAGTCCTCTCCTGCTGATGTTCAGGTGTATATCAGTATGTAGTGTCTCTACTTTAAAGAGTCCTCTCCTGCTGATGTTCAGGTGTATATCAGTATGTAGTGTCTCTACTTTAAAGAGTCCTCTCCTGCTGATGTTCAGGTGTACATCAGTATGTAGTGTCTCTACTTTAAAGAGTCCTCTCCTGCTGATGTTCAGGTGTATATCAGTATGTAGTGTCTCTACTTTAAAGAGTTGGATGAAGTTTAGTCGTCTCATTTAAACACTTGTTAGCGAGTGCTGTTTTTAAATTCACCAGTGTTGTATTTACGGACATGTTTTATGTGTATCTCTTCAGCTTGTGTTAACCACAGATCTTATTTCATTTGAACACCACACATAAAGGTAAACAAGAATAATTACCTGTCCCATGAAATCAGTGAAGAACAGCATGTTGCAGAGGAAGGCGGTCCAGCCCAGCAGGTGGCTGACACACAGGTAGCGGTAATGACTCGGCATGTTCATTAACGCTTTCATCATCGACCTGAATGTCATCCTCTTCTGGGCCTAGACACACACACACACACACACACACACACACACACACACACACACACACACACACACACACACACACACACACACACACACACACACACACACACACACACACACACACACACACACACACACACACGTTAGACAAGAGTGTACGGTGCCCCTGAAAAAACAGTCTGAAACAATTATCCTTTTGAGGATTTTGCGCACACACACACACACACACACACACACACACACACACACACACACACACACACACACACACACACACACACACACACACACACACACACACACAAACGACAAATATGAATCATACAGAGCAGATTTTCCTCTCGTAGCTCTCATTACTCCTCTGATATTTATTTTCTAGTGATGCTTAAGTGTCACTTCAAGAGATTTGAAGATAAAAAAAGACGTGTGCGGCACGAGGGTCTGAGCAAGAAGGAATGAAAGGGTTGGAAGTAAAGATCACAAGGCGACATTAAGGGCTTTGTTCAGGGGTTAGAAACGGGTGGAAGACAAAGTCATGCAATCAACGACATATTCAGGCTATGATGAACGCTACAAAGGCTGACATGACATCACAATATTCAGCTTTTATACATAAAAGAAACCTCATGGTGGTCAGGAAGCTAACTGGGCTCAATAGAGCAAAGGCAATTAGACATGGAGCTGAAGAAGATAACGATGCACTCTTCTCAAAAGATCTGTATCCTTTTCATCAGAAGACAGAGACTCAGCTCGGGAGCGTCGGACAGATTGAGAGATGTTTTCAAAAATAGTTAATACTACAGGATATATTCACACTTCAGGATGTTGAAGAGTCTCCTCTGCAGAAAATAACCTATACAACATTTTAAACACCCTCAGGATTATTGGACAAGGGTTCTTCCAGTAAAGGAGTATTCTTCATTTACGTAGGTCAAGCCCAGATTTGCTGAGATTGTAAGAAAATGCATAAAAAACGGAATATTTTAAACACACTCAGAAAAAGCATGTGTTTCAGAATAAAAGCCCCATACGGTAACTGCATCCTAACGTGAAACGCAGGAAGAAGCATGTTTTTCAAAATAAAACCCCATATAGTAATGGTTGCTTTAGAGGAAGCTGAGGAAGAAGCGTGTTTTTTTCATTATTTTTTTTACGAAAACCACAAAGAGTAACTTTGCATGTTTTTCAAAATAAAAGCACCATACAGTAACTTGAACCTTACAGGAAGCTCAGTAAGAGGAAGGTTTTTTTCAAAATAAAGCTGTAGGGGTAACTATATAATTACAGGAAGCTACAGAAGAGGCAAGTTTTCCAAAATAAAAGCCCCAAGAAAAATACTATCTCTACAGGAAGCTCAGGTCTATACTGGTTTTTCAAAATAAAAGCCCCAGAAAGCAAGAATTTGAGGATTAATAATGTTTTTTTGGTAATCTCTCCTTTACAAACTCTTTGTTTGACTGCTGGGCGCTTGAGGTCACTGGCCATGTTTTTAATGTTTGATGTTTAATGTTTCATGTTTCAAAATAAAAGCACCCAGAAGATACCTATCTCAAGAAAATAGGCTTGTTTGAGACAAGCGAGACCTGCGCAGACCTGCGCAATTGCGATCAACGTCTTGCTAGTGCGTTGCATGATGGTTAGTCATTTTGTCCGACTTGCTCAGGAGGCTCGCCTACATGAGACGTTGAAATCTCGCGGGACAAAGACGCCCGCAGACTTGAGAGCGAGGCGCGGCGAGGCGGCGCAGTTTCTCTCCACGGGCTGCGGAAGCGAAATGCTTGATGGGAAACGACTTGCTGGTATCTCGAGCTGAGCGCTCATTGGTGGGTTTTACCCCGTGCTGGAGATGAAACTCTCCATTGGCTCGGCAAAAGTGTGTTGTTGTTTTGTGTCAGTTTTACGTCGCCACTTCCATTCATTTTTCATCATTGTTCCACAATGTTTATCATCATTAAATTAATATCTATATATTTGTATACTATACTTGCACTGCTTACCGTTGTCATACTTTATATATCTTAGCATATTCATACAACACACTGTTCATACTAGGCTAGGCTACTGTGTATAGTGTATTCATACCCCTCACTGTTTTTTCATCATTCAATTCATTCTATATTTTATTCTGTAGATTGTGTACATTACTTTTCACTTTACTGCTTTATGCACTCCTGGTTAGAAGCTAAACTGCATTTCGTTGTCTCAGTACCTGTAATCTGTGCAATAACAATAAAGTTGAATCTAATCTTGAGCAGGAACAAATATATTTACTTAGTACATATCTGACATTAACGATTAAACACATTTGTCCATTCTTTATCAATCAATCAATCAATGTTTATTTATATAGCCCAATATCACAAATGTTACATTTGTCTCAGTGGACTTCACAGTTTGTACAGAATATCAGTATGACAATACGACACCCTCTGTCCTTACGTTTCACATCATACAAGGAAACACTTAAGAGAAAAACCCACAGTTTAAAGGGGAAATGGGAGAAACCTCAGGGAGAGCAACAGAGGAGGGATCCCTCTCCCAGGACGGACAGACGTGCAATAGATGCCGTGTGCATTTATAAATGCAAACCGAGTCAAGCCGACTCCGGAGGTGGCGGTATGCACCTTAAAGTTGTTTGAAATCCGCCAAAAAACCGAGAGAAGAAGAAGAAGAAGAAGAAGAAGCCGACTCCGAGCTGTCCGACTTCAGGCGAGTTTTTTGAGACCTCCCCCGGCTGCGATCGGCTATTCTCGTCTACTTTCGAGGCGAGCCGCAGCTCGTCTCAAACAAGCGTAGTAACTATCTCTACAGGAAGCTCAGATCCATGCTTGTTTTTCAAAATAAAAGCACCAGAACATGAGGATAAATGAAGTTTTTTTTAATCTTGTCTTTACACCTCTTTGTTTAGCTGCTTGGCGCTGAAGGTCACTGAGTTGGCTTCAGAGGGTAACTGTATACTTGTATACTATGCTTGTTTTTCAAAATAAAAGCCCCAGAAAGTAAGAATATGAGGATTAATAATGTTTTTTTCTTTACCCACCTCTTTGTTTGGCTGCTTGGCGCTGGAGGTCACTGAGTTGGCTTCCCCCAGAGCAGAGAAGGATCTGGGCCTGAGGTCTGTGACGGGTCCGGGTCCCACTGGAGAAACGGGCTCTTTAACCAGCGCTCCGTATCCATTACTCTGAGTTCCCAGCAGGCGGAGGGCACTGGGTTTAGAGGGGCCAGAGTCTGAGGGGTCTTTATCCAGAGGCTGTTCAGGAATACTGAAGAGGTGCAGCGTGAGGAAGACTCCCCAGGTCAGCGCTGAGAAGAAGAAGATGACCTGGTACTCTGATCCCAGCGCCTCTCCCAGAACAGAGTGGCCCCAGTCCATCGCTCCCACCAGGTACCCGAACGCACCGCCCAGACCTGGAGGAAACAGCAGCAATAAATATTCAAACAGGTGTCTTTTTTTCTTCTATTAAGGTGTTGTATAAGCCCACTGCTCTAGGATGGGTTAGATGCAGGACAAATGTCACCGTGTGTGCTGTGTGCGCTGCATGTGTGACCATTAAAGAGGGTTTCATCAAAAAAGAAGAAAATACAAGGACACAATTAGTCGTACTGGTGAGTCACTAAGTGAAGTCTTTATGTCCCGTGAATATATATTTGTAGAGTAGAAAATCATTATTTTACTGAACTCTAGCCTGAACTGCCTTATAACTTTTTTATGATACGTTTTATCCCGAAAAACATGGAAAAAATACATTTGTTCTTGCCCTTTTTTCAGACGAATGGAGAAATAAACAGATAATTCCCTCTGTTTAAACCTTTGGATCAAGAATGAGGAACCTGGTTTTATCAAATGTTCATATGTCTGTACTTCAAGGGCTGATTGTTGGTGAATGTACATCCTGCTTTTTCCTGGAATGCCTTTTCTTTAACCTCAGGGAGGACATTTCTGCAGAGTATTGATCATTCTTCTTCCTCTGCACATGCTCATTATAAGAAAAGGTCACCCTAAAGTTACATTACTGGGTTTAAAGGTCAAAGATGGGTTCAGGTAACAGTAAAACAGGGATATCGTCAAATATCTGGAACAAACTCCCAGAAACCTGCAGGTCTGCTGAAACTCTGACTACTTTTAAATCCAGCCTGAAGACTTTCTTTTTGCCGCTGCTTTTAATTGAACTATTCACATCTCACACTGCTCTGTAACTTTTATTCATGTACCTGTGTCATTCATGTTTTATTATCTTTGCTTTTTAAAGTTTCTAATGTGTTTTATTCTCTTAATGTCTGTCATTTCTGCAAAGCACTTTGAATTGCCTTGTGTTGAAAAGTGCTGTGTGCTCTGCATGTGTGACCAAGAGGGTTTCATCCCTCCGATTCTATTGTTTTTCCTATATTATGGTGTAAAGATTGTGATGTGAAGGCAAGGCTTGTTTTAATCTAGATATTTTGAATATTTTAGGAGAAGTTTAAAACTGAAAAGTTTATCAAAAATTAATCAATGTTTTTTGGTGATGTAAGAACAGACATATTTGATACTACATGCAGTAAGTCCTATTACAGATGGTTAAGGTCTCTCAGTAAATGGAGACGCAGCTAAAAAAGTCAGAATTTGAGAAAAAAGACAGAATCTTCAGAAAAAAGTAAGAATTAAAAAATTAAAAAAAAATGGCTTTTGAGAAAAAAGTCAGAATTTTGAGGGAACTTTTTTGATTTTTTTGCAAAAATCTGAATTTTTGGGGAAAAGTCAGAATTTTATGGGGGGAAATCTGGATTGTAAGATTTAAAAAAAAAAGTCAGAATTTGGAGATCTTCAAAAAAAGATAGTAGTTCACATCCAGCAATTGCCTTTACCTCATTATTAGTAATTCATGCAAATTAATTTAATAATCAGCATATTATTTATTGGATTATGTCGCGTGAGGTCACTGTGACCTTGAGTCTCATTGGGTGTTTGTTCCCTCCAGGAGTTCTTGGTCACAGGGACATTTTATGATCAAATTATTCTCACTTCATTCTTAGGTCTCCCTTGAAAAGGAGATCAATGATCTCAATGGGATACAACCTGAATAAATAAAGGTTTGAAATGAAATGAAATTGAGTCAAATTGGATGTTTGTACTGACTTCGGAGAAATTCCCCCCAGGAGTTCTTGTGATATACACTCAGGAGAGATGGTTACACAGAACATGAAAACGTGATTCCTGACTGATCAACTGTGTCTCCCTGCAATCAGAAGTCCATTCTTCTTCATTAGAGCGGCTGGCAGGTAAAGTAATAACCACTTCAGGAGTCACGCTTCACTCACTGTGAACATTACTGTGTGCTCGCCTCTGCTCTAAAACCTCTGTTTCTGTCATCAAATCCAATCCAGTGTTTATCTTTCTGTCCCAAAATAACTCAGTTTTCATAACAACGTGCAGAAATATCACTCTGTGTTCCCAAAGGTATCCATGGAGATGGAGAACAAGAAGGAATGAGATATTATATACTGGACTCATTAAAGTAGAGACACTACATACTGATATACACCTGAACATCAGCAGGAGAGGACTCTTTAAAGTAGAGACACTACATACTGATATACACCTGAACATCAGCAGGAGAGGACTCTTTAAAGTAGAGACACTACATACTGATATACACCTGATCATCAGCAGGAGAGGACTCTTTAAAGTAGAGACACTACCTACTGATATACACCTGAACATAAGCAGGAGAGGACTCTTTAAAGTAGAGACACTACATACTGATATACACCTGACATCAGCAGGAGAGGACTCTTTAAAGTAGAGACACTACATACTGATATACACCTGAACATCAGCAGGAGAGGACTCTTTAAAGTAGAGACACTACATACTGATATACACCTGATCATCAGCAGGAGAGGACTCTTTAAAGTAGAGACACTACCTACTGATATACACCTGAACATAAGCAGGAGAGGACTCTTTAAAGTAGAGACACTACATACTGATATACACCTGAACATCAGCAGGAGAGGACTCTTTAAAGTAGAGACACCACATACTGATATACACCTGGATATCAGCAGGAGAGGACTCTTTAAAGTAGAGACACTACATACTGATATACACCTGAACATCAGCAGGAGAGGACTCTTTAAAGTAGAGACACTACATACTGATATACACCTGAACATCAGCAGGAGAGGACTCTTTAAAGTAGAGACACTACATACTGATATACACCTGAACATCAGCAGGAGAAAACTCTTTAAAGTAGAGACACTACATACTGATATACACCTGGATATCAGCAGGAGAGGACTCTTTAAAGTAGAGACACTACATACTGATATACACCTGAACATCAGCAGCAGAGGACTCTTTAAAGTAGAGACTCTACATACTGATAGGAACCTGAACATCAGCAGGAGAGGACTCTTTAAAGTAGAGACACTACATACTGATATACACCTGAACATCAGCAGGAGAGGACTCTTTAAAGTAGAGACACTACATACTGATATACACCTGAACATCAGCAGGAGAGGACTCTTTAAAGTAGAGACACTACATACTGATATACACCTGAACATCAGCAGGAGAAAACTCTTTAAAGTAGAGACACTACATACTGATATACACCTGAACATCAGCAGGAGAGAACTCTTTAAAGTAGAGACACTACATACTGATATACACCTGAACATCAGCAGGAGAGGACTCTTTAAAGTAGAGACACTACATACTGATATACACCTGAACATCAGCAGGAGAGGACCCTTTAAAGTAGAGACACTACATACTGATATACACCTGAACATCAGCAGGAGAGGACTCTTTAAAGTAGAGACACTACATACTGATATACACCTGAACATCAGCAGGAGAGGACCCTTTAAAGTAGAGACACTACATACTGATATACACCTGAACATCAGCAGGAGAGGACTCTTTAAAGTAGAGACGCTACATACTGATATACACCTGAACATCAGCAGGAGAGGACTCTTTAAAGTAGAGACACTACATACTGATATACACCTGGACATCAGCAGGAGAGGACTCTTTAAAGTAGAGACACTACATACTGATATACACCTGAACATCAGCAGGAGAGGACTCTTTAAAGTAGAGACACTACATACTGATATACACCTGAACATCAGCAGGAGAGGACTCTTTAAAGTAGAGACACTACATACTGATATACACCTGGACATCAGCAGGAGAGGACTCTTTAAAGTAGAGACACTACATACTGATATACACCTGGACATCAGCAGGAGAGGACTCTTTAAAGTAGAGACACTACATACTGATATACACCTGGACATCAGCAGGAGAGGACTCTTTAATTGACAAGGACACACTTTTTAAAGTATATTTGTAATGCAAACAAGGCAAAGAACAGCATCTTAAAGGTTTAACCCCATTTATTTTGTAATAGGAACAGCAAATTGCTTTGTGTGCCATGTCAGAAGAAAATGAAGGTCACAAATTAGTCGTACTGGTGAGCCACTGAGTGAAGTCTTTATGTGCCGTGAATATATATTTGTAGAGTAGAAAATCATTATTTTACTGAACTGCCTTATAGCTTATTTATGTCACGTTTTATCCCGAAAAACATGGAAAAAATATATTTGTTCTTGCCCTTTTTTCAGACGTATGGAGAAATAAACAGATAATTCCCTCTGTTTAAACCTTTGGATCAAGAATGAGGAACATGGCTTTATCAAATGTTCATATGTCTGTAGTGAAAATGTATTGACATTGCACCACAAGGGCTGATTGTAGGAGAATGTACATCCTGTTTCTTCCTGGAATGCCTTTTCTTTAATCTCAGGAGGACATTTCTGCAGAGTATTGATTATACCTCTTCTTCTACTGCACAGGATCATTATAAGAAAAGGTCACCCTAAAGCAGAGGTGGGAAGTAGTGGAGTACAAATACTTGGTTACTGTACTTAAGTACATTTTTCTGGTATCAGTACTTTACTCCACTACTTATTTTTCTGACGAGTTTTTACTTTGACTTCTTACATTTTGAACACAAATACCTGTACTTTCTACTTCTTACATTTTGTACACAAATACCTGTACTTTCTACTTCTTACATTTTGTACACAAATACCTGTACTTTCTACTTCTTACATTTTGTACACAAATACCTGTACTTTCTACTTCTTACATGTTGAACACAAATACCTGTACTTTCTACTTCTTACATGTTGAACCCAAATACCTGTACTTTCTACTTCTTACATGTTGAACACAAATACCTGTACTTTCTACTTCTTACATGTTGAACACAAATACCTGTACTTTCTACTTCTTACATGTTGAACCCAAATACCTGTACTTTCTACTTCTTACATGTTGAACACAAATACCTGTACTTTCTACTTCTTACATGTTGAACACAAATACCTGTACTTTCTACTTCTTA